TGGGGGCTCCATCCAAAGCAACGGATCTTATAGTCAGTGAGTCTTGCTGTCCTTGTAGTTACCGCAGGTGGAAGCTTGGAGATGACATTGACCTTATCGTCCGCTGTGAACACGATGGCGTCATGACTGGAGCCAACGGGGAAGTGTCCTTCATCAACATCAAAACACTCAATGAGTGGGACTCAAGGGTGAGTCCTGCAGTGTGTGGTGGGGTTGGCTATAGAGTGGGTGCTCACAGAGCTGGGGGGCGGGGCAGGGATAGCTTGAGTCTCTTAATCCACTCAAGTCCCAGCTGACAGAGTAGAACAGTCTGAGTTGAGAAGGTTCTCACTTTCTGCATCTTCTGTCTCCCAGTACTTAGTCTGTTCATCTGGCCACCCATTGGCTCCTCTCTACACAGCTGACCTTGACCTCACCTCTTTGAAAGCCCAATCACTCTCTCTGACCTCTTTCTTTACTCAGCCTGCACCTCTTGAGCCCTTTATCCAGCACTGGCACTGCTGGCCTTAAAAGATCTGGACTGAAAACATGCACACATGCATGCAGAGTCTGCTTTCCATTGTCCACCAGTTCCCCAGGACAGTTAGATCAGGCATCAGTCCTCCTCCCTGGCTTTGTGTGTGGCACTCTATTGACGAGAAGGGAGGAGCTGCTGCCTCTGTACAGGATAAAGCATACTGGTGAGGACAACTCTGAAGCCCAGCCAGCCTGTGATTGGCCTGCCATCAAAGTGTGGCTTAGAGAACCATTGTCATCTGGAGCCAGTGGCCTTCTGTTCTGTGGCATCCATCTTTCCTCATGCTGGTACTGTTCTAAAATTGCGCATCCCTGCCCCACTCAAAAGTGGCGAAATCTGCCGTGCAGCTCATGTCCCTGAGTCCTTTATACCTCAGTGCTCTCTTGCCTTACAAGCACATGAAAAGAAACTTTATGGCTTCAAACAGCACCTACAACTGGGATTTGGTGGGCGAGTGTCCAGCACGTTGAGGTGTCATGGATGGCAATGATAGTGTCCCTAGAACTCAGTGTGTTCCAGAAGCAATTATCTTGGAAGCTTACCTGGGTGTTGCGGAAGTCAGATCCTTGCAGTGACACAGCTGAAGTCCCTTGCCAGTTTTCAAACACTCCTTTGCCCCAGGAGTCCTCACCCCTCTCCTGCCAATACTTCTCAGTTCCTGCTCACTGCAGTCCAGGAGCCCAGGCGGCTCCTATCCCACTCTGGTACTTTTTTGTTGTCTTTTTATTCCATTTGTGAGTCTGGAAAGGGACTTTCTCTACCTTGTGCCTGTCATTGGACGTCTGTCTTCTGTCTGACCTGTGTTCATTTTGTTTCTGCCTATGACTGTCCCCGGGATGATGTCAGGGCTCTTCGGTGTCACAGCACTCTCTAGGGGCTACTGCTCATTTTCCAGTTTTAAGGGAAACACAGAATCTGTCAGATAGTATTCGTGGAATGGTGGGGACCTCCCTGCCTGAAGACCTTAGACTGCCCTACTTCCCACGTCTGGAAGTCTATGCCTGTGAAGCATCAGGTGCTGGACCCGTGCCCCTCAGACTCCATCCTTCTCTTCATGTTCGCTGTGGCACAGCGTGAAGCCCAGTTCACCACACAGCGCCCTTGCCTGTTGGGGAATCATCAGTCTACCTCTGGCTCAGGCATACTCTTCACTTTCTGTGGCTCTCTGTCTTTCAGAGGAGGCCCTGGTGTCTTGTACGGGAGGTGTCACCCTCACCCAGTAACCAGCCTTCCTTCTGCAGCATTGTAATGGCGTTGACTGGCGTCAGAAGCTGGACTCTCAGCGTGGGGCTGTCATCGCCACTGAGCTGAAGAACAACAGCTACAAGTTGGCGCGGTGGACCTGCTGTGCTCTGCTGGCTGGATCTGAGTACTTGAAGCTCGGGTGAGACTCCTGCGAAGGTGCCGGGGCAAAAGCTGCTCACCCCCCTTTACTTTGGGAAAAGCAGGCCAGGCGTTACCACAGGACCAACACTGGACCCCAGGCATTGCCATCTCTCTACAGCCAGTGTCAGCACCCATCCTCCTCCCCCACAGGTATGTGTCCCGGTACCACGTAAAGGATTCCTCACGCCACGTCATCCTGGGCACCCAGCAGTTTAAGCCGAATGAGTTTGCCAGCCAGATCAACCTGAGCGTGGAGAATGCCTGGGGCATCCTGCGCTGTGTCATTGACATCTGCATGAAGCTGGACGAGGGCAAGTACCTCATCCTCAAGGACCCCAACAAGCAGGTCATCCGGGTCTACAGCCTGCCTGATGGCACCTTCAGCTCCGAGGAAGACGAAGAGGATGAGGAGGAGGAAGAGGAAGAAGAGGAAGGTGGGCAGAGTGGGCCTATGAAGCTTGGGGTAGTCTGAGGGCTGGTAAGGGAGACAGGCTAGTGCTGTGGTCACCTTGGCAGCACATTAAGAGCTCCTTGCACTTCATGTAGGGTGCCACTCTGGCTCACCAGAGGGCCCCAGGGAGAACACTGAGAGAAGGCCCTGATGCAGGCCTTTAATCACAGAGGCAGGTGGATCTCTGAGCTTGAGGACAGTCTGGTCTATACAAGAGAAACCTTGTCTCAAAAAACAAACAAACAAAAAAAAAATGCTAGAGAGATGGCTTAGCCATTAAGGCTAGGCTCACAACCTTAAATATGAGAAAGCCCTGGGCAGCTGTTGAAAGGAAAGCAAGCTCAGCCCTACAGGGGTCAGGAGGACTCAGCAAAGAGGAGGCCTCGTTGGTCCAGAGGGAAAGGCTACATCGATCGGGTCACACGGTGAGGCTCACTTCTCTTAATTGTTTTTCTTTCAGAGGAAGAGACTTAAATGAGTTGGGCTGGTGCCCACGTGGGTTCCATCCAGCTGTGCTTGGGCACCGTGTGTCTGGCTTCCTGCTCGCTGTGACAGATGGAATAAAGTTTAAGTTCTTTCAGTTTCTTCCTTTGTCCTGTGTTCCCATTGTGATCTTCAGCCCTGCTCTCAGCAGTCCCTGTGAGAGGGAGACCAGATCCAGCAGTGTTTGTAGCCTTCTGGCCGCTGTTCAGTGGTTGTGTCCCTGCTGGAGCACTGTGAAAACGGCATGTCCTTCGGAGGAGATTCCCCCACACGGAGATACCCCAGCCGTTCTCAGTCTGTGGGTTGTGGCCCTTTAGGGTTGGAGTGACCCTTTCACAGTGTCTCCCAAGACCATCAGAAAACACAAATATTCACATTTTGATTCACAACAGTAGCAAAATTACCAAGTATCAAAATTTTATGGTTGGGGGGTCACGACAACATGAACTGTATTAAAGGGTCTCGGGGTTAGGAAGGTTGAACCACTGCCTAGCATGACACAGCTTACTGTCTCTAAGAGCAGGGTGTGGTGGGGAGGTGGCCTTTCTTGAAGGTATCTTAAGAAGCGGCTGCTGGGTGGTGGTTCTAGTGATTTACAAGGTTGGCTTGGGCGGGAGAAGGCGTCTCAGGCCAGTCTTCACAAAGCAATGTGTCACAGAAGAACTGCACATGTGTAAAGGCTGTGTAGACTTCTCCATGAGTGCTGGTCTCCACGCTTCACTAATTGTCCCGCCTGGGTAATTGCCCCAAGCTTTCCATAAATGCCTCACCTGCCTCTTCAGAACTGGTATGTGGGTGGACGCAGAGCTATGTAGATAAAAGGGGCTCAGGGTTGGGATTGCCTTCCTAAAGCTGTGTAAACAATTGAACTTAAAGAAGCCAGCAAAGGATGCTGGCTTTTATTCTCTTGGGAAGATGAACAGAAAACTTGTGAGTTTCTGAAAGTCTCAGGCTTGCAGCAACCCTGGCTCTGGGTTTATAATGTAGGGTGCAAAGAAAAAGTGGTGTGACAAGTGTCTTGGAGGACTTCAGGAATGAGCCAGAATCCCGATCTCTGGCCAGACCCTTGGCCCAACCCTCTAGCAAGAAGCCCCCCGTGTCTCTGCCCGAAACCACATACTTCTCAGCCAGGCTTGGGGGTCCTGAGAAGCATTCCATTTCCATGACCAAGCCAGACCAACTTTCAGGTTCTAGTCCCCTCCCATGCCCACCCCAACTCTCCAAGGCGCCTGTGAAATGCTCTGCTGTATTTTTGGTGAGGAACCTTGTCTATCCAGGGTAGCTCCAGACTAAACCACTTGGGGGCTAAGGTCTCCACAGCCCAAAAGAAAGCTTGTGTCTGTTCCCAGGGCTCTTTTCCTGCTTTGGTGCAAGCTCTAAAGGAAACGGCAGCATTCCTGGGTGTGCTTTGACCAGGAAAATTCATAAAGGCGTAAATCCCCAGCCACGAAAAGCTGGAAAGCAGAAAAGTACTTCCCTAAGAACCCCCTGTTATTCACTAGAGTCTGCAGCGCCCTGTGACTGTCGCTGTCCTTCCCGCAAACCACACAGGACTCTAATCAGGTAACTCTTCCGCAGGTAGGCCAGCCGGAAAACTCAAATCCTCCTCCTTCCATTACGTGCAGGGGTTTTCAGTGTGAGGCTTTGGTTTGGGGAATCTGAAGCGGGGTCTCACACTCCAGGCAGTCCTCCTGCCTCAGGCTTATTAAGAGTGCTTTGTCAAAATCCACCTAGCTGTTGACAGTTACAAGTTGCCCACCCCCCAGACAACAGGACGGTCAAGTATCTAGGGCAAATAATTGGTTCATCTGTCTTGGCTCTTGTCTCAACAGTCTCACAAAACGGAATAACCAATCAGTTTTAGTCTCCTGCTGCAGCATAAAGGGATATGAACGCCAAGAATTTCTCCAAAAACCTCTCATCTCTGACACGTGGGTTAGTACAGCTCAAAAGCAGAGGCCGGCCCAGTGTGTCCATCACAGACCCGCTGTTTGTCCGGGGCGCCTCTACCCACAGGGGCACTTCTCACAACACGTGCGCGCCAGTAACGCCCCGGCCACCCCACCAGTCCCGGCGTGCCGCGCGTGGCGCACGTGACCCCGCCCCCCGCCATTGGCCCGGAGCGGGGAGGGGCGTGACCGCCGTGGCGCGAGCCAGCCGGAGCTTCCCAGCGCTGCAGCCTGCAGCGGGAGCATCGCTGGGCCTCCGGCGGCGGCTTGCGGGTCGGAGGCGCATCCTGGGCACCGCGCACGCGCCGGAAGCAGCGCGGGGTAGCAGAGGCTGCGGCAGGTGTGCAGGGGCATCCTCATGTGATCCAGGGGGCTGGGGTGGGGCCTTAGAGGCCACACCTCCTTCAAGTCGTTTTCCCCCATCCCTCCCCACCCACTTGAGGATGGAGGGTGGGTTGACGGACCAGTGCCTCTGAAGGGTCACCTCGGGAGACCTCCTCCCAAAATGCAAGGCATATCCAGAATGCATGGAAACTGGGGAAACTGTCTCTCCCTTAGGGTGATAATAAGGGAGTCTGGCGCCCCGGGAAAGAAGACTATGGAGATGCACTGTTGGGGTTCAGAATTCCTGTGGGCCCGTGATCCCACCTGGAGGGGATGGAGGCGAGATAGATGAGACCCTAGGTTCCGGGGCTCGGTCCTGGCCCCACTCCAAGTCCGGGGGAGGCCCAGGTGCCAGGTTCCTCTTTCCTCTAGAAAGCCGGCTGTCACCTGCTGCCAGCCGCGAGGTACGAGGCCTCTCCTTTACTGTGCCGCAGGATGGGTCCCTCGGGGCTGCTGCTGGCCCTCGCCCTGCACCTGGCGGTGTGCTCCCGTCCGCACTGGGACTATTGCGTGCTGGGCGCCGGTCCCGCGGGCCTGCAGATGGCCGCCTTCCTGCAGCGGGCCGGCAGGGACTACCAGGTGTTTGAACGCGAGTCCGCTCCAGGCAGTTTCTTCACTCGCTACCCACGCCACCGCAAGCTCATCAGCATCAACAAGCGGCACACGGGCAAGGCCAACGCCGAGTTCAACCTCCGCCACGACTGGAACTCTCTGCTCAGCGATGACCCACACCTGCTCTTCAGACACTACTCGAAGGCTTACTTTCCCGATGCCAGCGACATGGTGCGCTACCTGGGTGACTTCGCGCGGCGCCTGCGGCTCCACGTGCGGTACAACACAAACATCACTCACGTGGCTCTGGACAAGGATCCGCAAGCCTGGAACGGCCATTACTTCATTCTGACCGACCAGAAGGGCCAGGCTTGCCAGTGCAGGTAAGGACCCTCACCCAGAATCAAGACACCGCTGGATTGGCCCTGAGATGGGGAAGATTGGGAGAGAGGGGTTACCCCTCGCTCCCACCGGGACTCAGCACCGAGGTTTGGTACAGCCAGCACTTTTTAAGGTGTGTCCTTACAAAGCTGTGGCTGAATATGTTTGGAAAATTCTAGCACTTCATCCCCTAGGATTCGCCAGGTTCTGTTGCCTTCTCTCTGATCCTCTGAGATTGAGTACTTCGTGTAAGCATAGCGTGTTCTCACAAACCCTTGCAGGCAGGTCCAGCCTTTTGTCACCGCTGCCCACGTTGTCATCTACAGGATTCAAGCTCTAAAGCCACGAAGGCACACACGCAGTCAAGTTACAGAACACACACATACACAAAGCTCATATTTTAAGTAAGTTTGCAAGTTGTGTTGGGCCACAATCATAGCTGTCGTGGACATCCGGTGGCTTCCTTAAAAATTAAAGTCCCCGAAACCCATGCTGGGAAAAGCTGAGTGAAGTGTCCAGGCAGCATTAGCCAGCAAGATTTCAGAACAGAACCAGCTTGGAGGCCCAACGAGCATGGCTTCCAGACGCTGGTATATTAGCTGGGAGGCATGATGTGGACGCCTCAAACTTGTTCAGTCCTCACAAGGAACTTAGAGAAGATGTTCCCTAATGCCCACTTGGCAGGCACAGCTGTGAGGCTGAGCTTTGAAGAGCTCCATCACCGCCTGGGCCATACCACTCACGTGTGGGGCTACATTTCCGCCGGCATTTCGCTGATACCTAAGCCTGTGTTTGTTCTGCTGTTCCATGCTCACTCCCTGCCTGTCAGCTTCACTCCTGGCTCCAGACCAGTGTATGACTGTTTCCTGCAGCCCAGAGAAAGGGGGCTGTCCTGACTGGGACTCTGGGATTGTAGGTAGCTTTGCTAGCGTAGAAGGGAGTGAGAAGCAGAGAGGACAGGGGCCGGAAAACAAGGGCCTATTTGCCGTCGTGGCCCTTCAATGGATGGTAGTTTTCTACATGGAAACTACCCTGTGGCCAAACAATTCTGTAGCCTTCAACCTCCAGATACCCAGCCGCCACCACTCCATTGGAATCCCCATCAGCATAAAGAACAGAGCTGGGCAAGATGGCACACATGCCCATAACCCAGCATCAGGGAGACTGAGACATGAGAATTGCCAGGTCCAAGGCTAGCCCCAGACTACATAGCTAGCCCACACCTCAACAGGACTTTGGAATCGGGCCCTTTCGTACTCAGATTGTGGTTCTCATGAAGAAATCTGATGCCCTCACCCAAAGGGCCTCATGCCTCCTCGTGTGTGAAACAGGCCAGGGGACATCAGCTGAGGAGTGGAAGAGATCGAGGAGTAAGACGATAGATAAACACCCTGGCACAGCGTGGATAGAAGATGTGTGTGCCTGGCCTGCTAGTCAAGAGGATGAACCTGAATGCCAAGCTGGAGTGCATCCCCTGGGGGCAAACTGACCTCACCACTGTGTTCTCTTAGGGGAAATGGTTTACTATAGCATCACTGAGCAAACATTCCCCAAGTACGGTATCTTTCCAGTGAACCATGAAGGACTGTGGCTAGCTTAGAGAGGGACGCACTGGCGTTAGTCAGTTGGTGGAGGGGGGAGCAAGTGGGTAGACATATGAGTGGACACGTCTTTGAGGAGCCTGGGATCGGGATGAGGCGAAGAGACCCACACTGAGTGGCTGTGAGGCTGAAGGACTGAGTCACCTTTCTTTGTCCCCACCTGCAGTGTCCTGCTTGTAGCTACTGGATTGTCAGTCCCCAAACTGGTTGACTTCCCTGGCTCCGAACATGTGGAGGGTTATGAGACTGTGTCTGTGGACCCTGAAGACTTTGTGGGTCAGAATGTGTTGATCCTGGGCCGTGGGAACTCAGCCTTTGAGACAGCAGACAACATCTTGGGTGTCACAAACTTTGTCCACATGCTGAGCCGTTCCCGGGTTCGGCTCTCCTGGGCCACCCACTATGTTGGAGACGTCAGGTACGCTACATCCCCGCTTTTGTATTCTGTACTGTAAATCCTGTACTAATCTGTTTCTTGATACTATAAGAAAATGCCTGAGGCTGAGTTCATGATTCCACAGGCTAAGTATGTTGCTCTCTCTAGCAAGGACTCACCAGCACCTCATAGTAGATGGTATCACAGAAGTAGGCACATGTGCCAGAGACTAAGCTAGCAAGGTGGGAAGCCAGACAAGGGGGCGGTTGGGCCTCCTCTAGCAATCCTCTGCCTGGAACTTACAAGAGTTCCCGACAGAATTGCCTTAATCTCTTCCAAGGGCATTACCCAGTGATCCACAGCTAGGTTCTCCCTCTTAAAGATCTCCCATCTTAAGAGGGATATCGCTCAGCTGGTAGAATGCTTGGCTCCCATGTACTAAAGCCCTGGGTTCAGTCCCCAGAGCACGTAAGCAAGGTGTGGTGACACACACCTGTTGTCTCAACTCAGCCCTCAGGAGGTGGAGGCTGGAAGATCACAGTCTAAGGACATCCTTAGCTACTTATTTGAATTTGAGGCCAGCTTGGTCTACATAGGACCAAAAAGAAAAAGAGGGAAAGAGAAGGAAAAAGTTCGTCCCCTCCCAGTGTTCCCTCTGTGGGAATTAAGCATTGCTGGATTAGAAGACCTCAGACATGGGAGCTTCCCCATCCTCAGCTGCACCAGACAGGCCTCCTGAGCCCTCTCTCTTCTCTTTCTGTTTATGGGTCCCAGAGCCATCAACAATGGCCTGCTGGACACCTACCAGCTGAAATCACTGGACGGACTCCTGGAGTCGGACCTGGAGCATCTGGCCCTCGTGAAGGACAGCAGGGGCAAGCTCCACATTACCCTCAGGTTCTTCCTGGAGGAGAACAACAGCAGCCAGAGTGCCGACTCCATTCCCCTCCCCCAGGATGACAATGACAACTTTGCCATGCGGGTGGCCTATGACCGCGTCATCCGTTGCCTGGGCTGGAAGTTTGACTTCTCCATTTTTAACCAGTGAGTCCAAGTGGGGTGGGTGTGGGGACCCCTCACCAACAATTTCAGACCTCCCTGGCAATGCAGTAGGCTTCAGGAGCCCACTTCAGGAATGGAGGAGGATGCCAAGGCCTTGTCCCTAGCAGCTAATATTCCTAAAAACCTTCTTCACGGCAGGTCCCTCAGACTCTCCTCGGGGACTGAGTTTAGCAAGAAGTACCCACTGATTAGACCCAGCTATGAATCCAAAGGAAGCCGGGGTCTCTTTATCCTAGGGACTGCCAGCCACTCAGTGGACTATCGGAAATCTGCTGGCGGCTTCATCCATGGATTCCGATATACAGGTAAGCCAGGCCCCACTGTCCCAGGGCTCCTGACTTACAAAAGCATCAAGAGGATGTTTTCATGGCCTGGGGATCCACCTGGAAAGAGCGTAACAGTAGATACTTCTAAGGGCAGCTGTGAAATGCTCAGTCCCATGTAGTTTGAGTTGAAGCATGTTCATGGGGATGGGTGGTCTTAGATGGGCCAGTCTCACAGAGCTAAATAAGGTAGTACCCTTCACGTGTGTGCCCATGAAGCAGCTCTGCAGCGGGATGCAGGCTCCCCTCAGAGAAAGTTCCGATTGATTATGTCAATTCTTGCTGCAAAACTCTCAGTACGGAAGATGTCGCCCTTCTACTGTCTTGAAAATGTTGACTTGTAATCTGAAAGCTGAGGATATTCCTCAGTGGCAGAGCAGTCATCTAGAGTATGCCTGAAGCTCTGGTCTCAATGAGATGATGATGATTTGATTTACTGCATAAGAATAATCCCCGGCCAGAAATCGATACTTTGTGATGATAAGGATAAACAGAAACAAAAAAGTGAAGGAGAGGAATAAATTGCCGCCTGTTGAGTACATTCTAGGGGCTGAGCACCTGCACCCTGTGTGCTGACTAGAAAGCCTTAGCTTCTCTTTTTCTTTTTTATTGTAAGAACTATTGTGTGCATGTGTGCGCTCAAGGACACTCGCACATGTGCACAGAGCATGTACCATATGCATGCAGAGGACAGGAGACAACTTGCAGGAGTCTGATTTCTCCTTCTGCCTGGGTTCTGGGGCTCAAACTCAATTCTTCATAGCATAGCAAGTGCTTTGACCCACTGAGCCATCTGGCCAGAACAGCCTTTGTTTTGTTCTGAGGACCAGAGAGCTCTGTCTGCGCTCAGTTTGGTTTCTGGTTTTTAGAGAGTGGCTTCTCCTACCCTCTTCTCCCCTCCATGGAGGAAGCAGCAGACAGAAGCAGCTGAGTGGGCTGTTTAGCTGTTACCCACATTTTTCAGGTCAGATGCCATCAGCTTGGCATGGATTTTGCTTGCAGTGCTTGCTTTGCATTCAGTGAACAGAGGATCAAGCTTCGGTCCTTGTTATCAGGAATGCAGTGGAAGCTTTCACTCAGGGCCTGAATGTTGTTGGCTTGTGTATCCTCAGTCCCCAGGCTGGGGTGCACAGTGCTGAGGCCAGGGAGAGAAAGGTGGCCTGTGAGAAGTAACAGTAGTAAAATATTTGTGTTGGGATCAGGGTGTGGTAGGCCCAGGCTAGTCTCAAACCCCTGATCATCCTGCCTCAGCCTCCCTGGTTCTGAGACAGATGTGCATTACCACACCTGGTCTGTGCTTTCATCTTCTTCGTGAAGACAATAAGGCAGGTGCGCTGTGGAGATCAGAGGAGGGGATGCTGCCAATCTCTTCATACAAAGAACTGGGTGCTTACGTGGGGCACGGTGGCATACGCCTGTAATCTCAGCACTCAGGAGGCAGAGATAGGCAGGTCTCTGTGAGTTCGAGGCCAGCCTGCTCTACAAAAGAGTCCAGGACAGACAAGGCTACGCAGAGAAACCCTCTCTTAAAAAACAAAAAAACACAAAAACAACAACAAAAAAGAATTGTGTGTTTACTGTAGAAATGTGGAAAAACACAAAATAGCACACAAAAAAAGGACTCTCTGTGATCACCTATTGTGGACACGCATGTGCCATAGTGTATGTGTGGAGGTCAGAGGACAGCCTTCGGGGGTCAGTGTCCTTCCACTATGTGGGACCTGGGGATTGAACTTGGGCTTAGCAACACGTGTCTAGCTACCTGCCAAGCCATCTTGCCAGCCCAACGGGTTTCTTTGTAACATAGGAAGCAGCAAACTCAGCGTAGGCTCGTAGGACCTCATGCCCTTCTGCATGGGGAGACTCGTGCCATCGCCTCCAGGGTAGAGTGGGCACTGTGGGGATGACCCCGCTCCCTCCACCTGCTGATGCTTGAGAATCCCTGGCTCTCCCAGCAGGTGGCAATGGTAAACACTTAAGCTCTTGTGAGCAATCCTGGGAGTCAGCTGTCGGTCTCCTCACCTGCGTCTTTGGAAGCAGAAAGGTGTTCCTGGGAGAACCTAGCAGCCTCATATCTCCTCAGGCGGTGGCACCTAGAGCAGCCGCTTAGCCTGTGGAGTGGGTACCATATTGCCTGGCTTCTGCTCCATGGGCCGCATCCAGACCCTAGGGGCCGTGAGTCCACACCCTCCTGTTTCCATTTAGGAAACAGGCTTAGGTTTTATACTTCATTACCCTCTCCAGCTAGCAAGGAGTGTTACATAGTGAGTCCAAGGTCAGCCTGGGCAACTTAGACCCTGTCTCAAAATAATAAAAAAAAAAAAGGGGGGGGAGGGTGCTAAGAACGGAACTTACTGACAAAGCATTTGTGTAACCTGTACAAGGCTCCAGGTTCCTTCTACAGTAGCAAAAACAATGGAGAAATACCTCCATTCTCTGAGTCTTGTTCTTTTGTGATTTCTCTTCCACCTCCTGGAAAGCCCCATGCCTCGGCATGCTGTCACTTGCTCCGCACAGGTCTTACCTTCTCGAGGACCCAGGCTTTGTTCTCTATCCCAGGCACCTCCCAGGCTTTTCTAGCTTCAGCTCCTACACCTTGCAAACTCAGCTTGGCCACTGGTGCCTTTCTTATGATCACCGGCCTCATTGTGTTGGGGTGTTCTATTAACACAATAGGGTAGAACAGCCCCAGGTGTAAAGAAAACCACTTTACTGCTGCCTTGGACGGCAATTGCTTTCTACAAAAGACCTCAGAACAAGACAGGGACAGGTAAATTTGGACTGAAAAAGAGAGAAACAGCCAGAGTGTCCATGGGGCCTTAGAAATGGCCTCAAAGGGGGATTGAAAGCTCTGTGTCTAGGTTGGATGCCCCCAGTGTAAAGGATGACAGTTGGCAGAGAAACGCCCATGTGGACCACTCACATCCAAATCCACCCCCACCCATACTTTGCCTGATACCCACGAGGCAGAAGAGAGCAGGGTCCTTGATTGTATGTGACTAAGAGGAAAGAGTATTTGCCACTTGGCCTGTTTTATGTACAACTCTCACTGCCACTGTTCCCCAGGCCTGGGCCTCCGTCCAGTGAGCCAAGATAAAATCTTGGCTCTTCCTCCCTCTGGCCATTTCAGTGCGTGCTGTCCACCGGCTGCTGGAGCATCGGCACCATGGCATCGCCTGGCCGTGCACAGAGCACCCCATCACAGAGCTGACCAGCTCTATCGTTCGTCGTGTAAATGAGGCTTCCGGGCTGTACCAGATGTTCGGTGTGCTGGCTGATATCATCCTGCTGAAGGAGTGAGTAGCCCTCCCCACTTCTTCTTCCCCATCCCGCTTTATCCATATACCCTGCCCCTTGCTTCTGGGACTATTCTGTGTGCTTAGTGACCCAATTGCTTCCTATAGAAAGGAGGCCCGAGAGGCTAATCTATCCTGGCAGAGAAGTCAGTGAGGTAAATACCACAATGTCTGCAGCACAGCCCAGTATAAACCTCAGATTATGGACTTCTTACTGTATGGTTTGGGGAAGTTATTTAAGCTTTGCGCTTTCTTGCCTCATCTGCAGAAATGAGCATAATTCCGTTGCAGCATTGAAGGGTGACGATAAGAGCCCCCTCAGGCAAGGACCAGGTTGATCCTTTTATTTTTTATTTTTATTTTTTTTAAGATTAATTTATTTATTACTTAGACAGCATTCTGCCTGCATGTGTGCCTGTGTACCAGAAGAGGGCACCAGATCTCACTATAGATGGTTATGGGCCACCATGTGGTTGTTGGGTATAGAACTCAGGACCTGTGGATGAACAGCCAGTGCTCTTAACCTCTGAGCCATCTCTCCAGCCCCAGGTTGGTCATTTTAGATCAAACGATTACTGGCAAATCAAAGGACACACAGAGCCTGAGAACATAGTGCAGGACATGTCAGGAAAGAGCAAGGGGAACTTAAAGAAGACAGACAGGTCAGAGGACACTCCTTGGTCCAAAGCCCTGGCCACTCAACACTAATTTCAGGGACACAGGGAGTCCAGGAGCTCTGTACCCTTCCATGAGTGCCACAGCTGTGTAGATCAGGGTGCTCATGCCAGAATCCAGTGCTCAGTCAGCATCCTAGTTCCATCACCCACCCTGGCCCAGCAGCCTCCCAGCATGTCACTCTGCCTTCAGCGTAGCCACCAGCCATCCTTTTAAAAGGAGAGTGATACTGTTGTCCCTGCCCCCACTCCCCAGGGGCCAACAGCTCCCCTTCTCCATCCACTTAAGGGCACACTCACCCCACAGCTCCTTTACTCAAGCTCTCCCTGACCTCCCTGACCCCGTTATTCTTGTCTCTATCTACAGTGACCAGCTTCTCCCCACTTTCCCTCATCCTGGGACGCCCTAGCCCCTGGTGTGTGCTCAGGTTAAACCTGCCCCAGCTATTCCAGAAGGCATGGTGATGTTATAGGGTGGGAGATTCCTGATATTATAGGGTGGGAGTCCACACTACCGAACCCCTCCCTGGTCCTGAGCCCTCCCCCGGGTCCCACCCACAGGAACGCCACAGCATTTGAGTACCTGGAGGAGTTCCCCATGCAGATGCTGGCCCAGCTGGAGACGCTCACAGGACGGACAGCGCGCCACGGGCTCTTTGTCATCAACATGGAATATGGCAAAAACTTCTCCGGGCCCGAGAAGGACGTGTTCTTTTATGACCGGTCTGTGGCCCACATAGAGGATGCCTGGATGTCCAACTTCCTCCACCCTGTCATATATTACTACAGGCACCTCCCCACCGGTGAGCTGCTCCCACCCTCGCCGAGCTCGGTCTCTTTGGGGATCACCACAGTCGCCATAAGGCCATTCAGAGTTTCTGCACTGACAGAGGGCACCCAGGGGACCTGCCACACGTGATCTCTGGGTACCATGCAGTGAAAGGGGTGCCGTCATGTTGTGGTGTCTCAGAGTGGGGGGAAGTGCTGCGGGTGAGCGTTAAGAAAAATGGATGAAAAAAAAACAGAGAAGAATGGATGAGGGCGGGTGAGATGACTGGGTGGGTTAAGGCACTTACCATGGAAGTCTGGAGACCTCAGTTCAATCCCTGGTACCCACAAAAGGTGGAAGAAGAGAACCGACCGCCCCGAATTGTCCTCTGACCTCCACACAGGCGCTGTGGCGTGTGTACCCACACAAACAGCAACAATAATAAACCACACAAGGACTAAGCAGGCCGACACAGCACAGAAATGGCAGGCCGAACTCCCAGGTCTGTACTCACAGCGGAGTGATCTCGGCCATTTTATCTAACCTTTCTGAGCTTTGCTTCCTGGTCTACAAAATGGGATGATGATAATCGTTTCATATAGGGTTGCAGGAGCATATACACAAAATGCCGGTGGCGCAAGGGCACATCCTCCATACCATGCCTTTCAGTTCAGCACTGGGGAGGCTGGGACAGGCTTACCACAAGCTCAAGGCCAGCCTGGGCTACTTGAGATCCTGCCAGAGGTGGCCCAACTGAGGGTTATTCCCAAAGGCAGAGGCTGCTTCAGAAGGCAGAAGGCAGGGTGTGGGCGGAGTGCAGATCTATAGTCAGCAGCCCAAATACTGGCCAACTACCATTGGTCACCCCCTGGAGACTGGTTTCCAGGGCTGGTCAGGTGTTGGTCCAGCAGCCTGTGGGCTTGGCCCTTAGGGAGCAGGATCCACAGCAGTGGGAAGTAAGTCCAGATAAGCCCCATGCCATCAATGGTCCCTGCGCTGCACTCAGAAACCACAGGCAGCAGGTCTGGTTCCTCTTCCTCCAGCTACATGAAGGTGGCTGCTGGCCAAGCTGACCACATCCTGGCAGAAGCACCCCAGGAAGGACATCACGAGAGCAGGGGGACATGCCAGCATGGGGCCTGGCCCTGATGCCTTCCTCCTCCCACAGAGCAAGATATGCGGTTTCGGCCTGCACAGTGGCCCCTGCCTCGGCCCACAGCCATTCACCACATCGTGGAGGACTTCCTGACTGACTGGACAGCTCCAGTGGGGCACATTCTCCCACTGAGGCGCTTCCTGGAAAACTGTCTGGACACGGATCTTCGAAGCTTCTATGCAGGTAACCGAGCTCCCAAGAAGGCAAAGGGTTGGGTGTATACCTTAGTGTTAGAGTGCTAACTTGCAGGGGTTTGAGGCCTAGCACAGGAAAAGGAAGGGGAAGAGAAGGCAGGAGAAAATGTAATGAGGAGCTAAAGACTACCAGAATTGATTGTATGATATTTTTAAAAGATGCAGATAAAACTAATGGACATAAAATATGCTTGAAATGAGAAGCTCAATATAAGGAGTTGGTAGTGCATTAGACAGAGGTAAAGAGAGAATTGGTAAATTGGAAGGCAGATCTGATAGCTAAATACTAAGAGGGATCTAGGGCAAGAACTCAAATGATCTAAAGGAGAAAGTAACAAGAACAAGCCAGTATTTTTGTCCTTTTAAATCCCTGGATGTTCTGAATCCAATGCTTTTTCTACTATTGAGAGAACATGTCAGACACCTGTCAAATGCCCAACACTATTCATACCAATTCACGTTAGGGACTGATTCTAGCCTATTCAAAGAGCAAGCATCTTGCTTCATCCTGAGTCTACTTTGAAATGATGATTTGGGAACTGACTTGCTACTGAGTGACATCCCAGCCCTGATCATCTAAGTATCTTTCTATCTTGGTTGACCCATAGAGTCAGATCCAAGCATCTTTGCAGTTCTAGAAGTCTAGGGTCAGCCAATCTTGATCATACACTGACCCCTGAAGATGCCTAGTAAAGAGCACCCTCAGTTCCAAACTGCCTGCCCGGGGCTTCAAGAGTCCACAAAAATGCAGTGGCATATTGATACCACAAGTCCTAGATCCTCCCAGCCTTTGTTTTTTTTTATTTTATTTATTTATTATGCATACACCAGATCTTATTATGTACCAGAACTCATTATAGATGGCTGTTAGCCACCATGTGGTTGCTGGGAGTTGAACTCAGGACCTTCGGAAGAGCAGTCAGTGCTCTTAACCTCTGGGCCATCTCTCCAGCCCCCCTCCCAGCCTTTGTTACTGCTGGGATGAATCTTTACAGTAACCCTGGGCACTGAGGAAGGGTAACATCAGAAGGTCATGCTGATGAATGGCCTTGTGGCTGCCATTGCATCTCTTCTCTTCCCTGCCAACACCTCTGTGCTGGAGTCAGAGGTGAGTAAAGAAAAGATACTATGGAACCCTTCTCAGCTTACTCACCACGTGACCCTAAGAGCATCGTTCTTTGTGTATTCCCTCCCATTTTACAAGAGTTACAGAGAAGGGGGAAAGTGAAGTGTTCCCCAAAGATGTAGAAGGACTCCACTGAGGCTCTGATACTCTGCCTTCCCACCCTGCCTCTAGCTCCTTATAAGACTGAGTGGGTATCTGTTTCATCACTTGTTTCTCAGTCAAAGCCCTCCACACCATGGAGGATATGGTCCAAGACCCCCAGTGAATATCTGAATAGATAGAACCAAATCACATACTTAGGGTTTGGGTACTCGCTTTGGGGATGTCATAATGAAATCTCAATATAGACCTGATGATTGCTGGCACAACGCTTTGATGTCAGAATATGAATGTGTATATGTGTGTGTCATGTTTTCCTCCACAAATGTAATGCCTGTTTGTTTTATATGCTATGTATCATTGCCACATGGATTTCTTTTTCCCTCTCGTGAGTTCCCATATGTAAGATGTATTTTACCATAGCATTTAGCAACTACACACAACACTTTTTTTTCTTTCTTATTCTGAGTAGAACTATCACCTTTTCACTTAAAGGAAATACCTTATGGCTTCCCTTTGGCCATCAATTACCATATTGCTTCACCTCTGTTCTTAAGCTTTAAAGCCATTACTGGCCAAGGTAAAATAAGATGTCCTAGTTTGCTTTCCATTGCTGTGATCAAACACCATGACAAAAAACAAAAAAGAAGTTTTCTCCCCAGATGACCCACCCTGTTGGGCACTAAGGGTAACTGACTCAGGTATAGTGTGACACTGTGATGGCTCTGTTAGTGGAGATGGCTACTAAGTGTGGGCGGTGTATAGTAGCACATACAGTATGATAACCAAGATGGCTACTAAGTAACTAGTAGTGGGAAGTATATACAACATGGAGTACCTGTATGCAGGGATGATTTCCATCCCTGTTAACCAGATGGTTTCTAAGTAACACATGGGTGTGTATTGTGTAAGATGTGGCTACCTGGACAAAGAAGTGATTCCCATACTATAACTCCAGATGCTACCCAGTAGCTGTGGGAAGTTAGTACATATAGTTCAGATCTCTACCAGGATGGTTCCCATCCTGGGTGGGCTGGAACAGAAAGTCTCTAGATGTCATCACAGTACTTGACACACCGTTTAAGACATGAATAGTTTATTTCTGGAATTTCATTCAGTATTGTCAGGTGGTTGACTGCAGCAAACGACTGAACCCGTGGGGGGGTGGGAGGAAGAAACCATAAGGCATGACCACTGAACTTGGCTGAAGGCTTTCTTCCAACTCTTGACTGTCACGCCCCACAAGGAACTACCTCTGGCTTTTGTGGTGATTCTTCCTGGTGCCTTTACTTGCTCGTGGATTCTTTTCATTGTTTCTTCAGATTTCAGAAATAATACACATCCACAGATATTTGTCAATGATCAAATTTAACATGTGCATCAGTTTTCTGCTTTGGTCCTAATAAGGATTTTTGCCTGTCTTATCTGTTTTACTTCCCACAACTGGGGAGAGAACCTTATTATCTCATGTGTGCTCATATGTAACACCTCTCAAGAGTTGATTCTCTCCTTCCATCATGTGGGTTCCAGTGCTTAAACTCAGTTCATCAGATTTAGCAGCAAGCACCTTTACCCGCTGAGCCATCTGACCCGCCCATGAAAAGAACTTTGTATGGAGTACTTGCAGCTCAGATATTGTTATAGGCAGTGCTGAGCTCAATACCTGAGTTCCCTACATACAAAGGCCAGCTTGCAGAACAGCTGAGGGCCAGCTCTGGAGAGATGACTCCTGCCATCCTGTCCCGTACAGAGCTCTAGGACCCATCTTGTCTGTGGTTTGCATCATTTTAGTATCCTGACCCATGACCTCATCTGGTCATATGTGAGACATCAGGAAAGGCAGCTTAGGTGGAAGGGCTGGAAAGGACAGTGCAGGGCCCCTGAGGAACACTTCCCCTTCCCCACCCTTGCCCACGCCTTCTTGTACCAACCTTGCCTGACACCTTCTTCTGCCTTTGTACAGAGTCCTGTTTCCTATTCACCTTCACACGCCAGAAGTTGCCCCCCTTTTGCCAGCAAGGATACCTAAGGATGCAGGGGCTTTTAAGCACCGAGAGCCTTCGGCAACATGGCGTGGAAAGCAAGCTCCTGCAGAACTACACAGCCATAGAGGACAACAGCAGGTGGCTTGGAGACCAGCCCTCGGTTCCAGGGCATCTGACTCAGTCCCTTGACAAGAACAAAGAAGAACTGTGAGCATCCTCTCCCAGGCTATGGTGGCTGGCACCTCTCCAGGAAACCTTTTCCCACCTTTCAAGCTTCTCAGAACCATCATATAGATGGCAGACAACAGAACAGCCTATGGAGTGCAGAATGCAGAAGGCTGGGACACGGTCACACTGTGGTGTCCCTTTCTATGCTGCCCCTGGGTGCTAGATGCAAGGTTAAGAGAAGGGTACGTTCTGTCAGGTATGAGCTGCCTTCCACTGCCGGCTTCTGTCCCACTTGAACCATCACAGACCACACTGGTCTAGTGCGTCTGCTTCTAGGACCAACCAACTTCCTTTTCCTTCTGGTTCACTCTGCAGATGGGCTTGGATCTACCTGGGAAACAGCTGGCAGCTGAAAGTCCTTCATTTCCATAGTGGGCCTCTTAGAGTGAAAGCTTGAGGTCTTCAGCAGTGGGGCAGACACTTAGGATCTCTGCTCCCCAATGCAGCTATGGACCCCAACTCAGAAGCATCAGACATCTTCTAAGGTCCTTATCCAGGAGAGACTGCCCCTATGCCACCCTTTCTTTCCACACCGTCATGCCCTCCCTGGCACTGGCTCTCGGCAGAACTCTCTCAGGCTGGGCATCACAGGCCCGGAGGGCTGGTAAAGGACAGAGACAGGAGACTCCTGCAAGGTCATCTGTCCAGCTGGCTTCTCAGGAGCAAGACCTCAATGCTGCCCTGTCCTCAAGATCACACTCCCAGGGATCAGGAGCCTCTGTCCCTCTCCCACCTTGCTGACTGGCATCCTGAGCAGTGTCTTCCTTGAGAGCAGCCTGGGCAGGTTTAGGGTGTTGCTGTGCCTGCTGCCCTGGGCATAGAAATGTTGACACGTGCTCTGATTCTGGCTGCCTTGCTGTTCCTCTCCCCTTCCTTGCCTTCCTCATCAGAGTCCACACTCAGCTGACAAATTAGTCTCACTGATGAATAAGCCATAAGGAAAGCATGACCACAAGGGAAGCATGGAAATCACGTGATTTCCCACAGGCCCAGAGTGCAGATACTGTTTCTCACCAGCCCTCTTTTATTCATGGCATTCATCCTCAGACATGCAAGGACATGTCAACCCAAAGCCCCTTCCTGGGAGTATCCTCTTCCCCATGGAAGAGTCTTGGCTGGGTCCAGGCCCTCTGAGCCGCCTGACCTACCTGCCTTCCTCTCCAGTGCTTACCAAGTTCTAACAGGGCAATTCAATAACTTCATCTCACCAGGAGGAACTGTGTACCTCTGTACCTACTTGAGGGAGTCTGCACAGGGCCAAACCTTCTAACTGAGTCATCCCCCAGCTGACATCACCAGGCTGCCGGTGTCACTTTATTTCACACAGGGTGATGGGCAAGCCAAACTGGGACCTTGCCATCCCACCCCTGTTTCCAGAGCATTTTCAAATGAGTCTTTGATTTAGCGCCAGGAAATGGAATGCTGTTCTTTACACGTCGCCCTCCAGTCATTGAGGCTGGCTGAGCCACTTGTTCAGTGCCTTAGCAAGTAGCTGGCTGACACCCTCGTGTATGACATCTGCTGCTTCCTGTCATCTGCCAGATCCTTGATTCTGTCAAAATATCAGGCAGCCTTATTTGTTTTTAACACAGGATTCTGTTGTTGCTCAGTTGACTAGGGATGTCTTCTACCCGATAGGGTTTCACCATGTCCTGGCTTGGTACTTATTTTTAAGGCTTTTAATTATGTGTACTTGTATGTAGTTATGTGTGGGTATGTATATGTGAGTGTCCAGAGACCAGAAGAGGGTGTCAAGAGCCCTGTAAAGCTGGAGTTACAGGAGGTTGTGAGCCACCGTATGTGGGAACTGGAAACTGAGCTTAAACACTATGGAGGAGCAGGAAGTACTGAGCCACTTGCTCCAGGACCCCTCCCCCATAACTACTTTAAAGAAAAGATTAAAAATAAGACAACATACCAGCACTAGGGTGGCCAAGGAAGGAAAATTGAGGTTGAAAGGCTAGCCTGGGCTACATGGAGAGTTCCAGGAAAGTATGGGCAATTTAACAAGATCTTGTCCCCCAAAAAAGAAAACTTAAAAGGGCAAAAATAGACTGGGCATGGTGGTATATGCCTTCAATCTTAATTAAACACTTTCAAAGCACAGGCTGGAGAATCTGTTGTGAGTTCAACTTGCCAGTTGACACAGCAGGTTCCAGGTCAGCCTGAGCTACATAATAAAACCCTGCCAAATAAGTAAGTAGATAGATAGATAGATAGATAGATAGATAGATAGATAGATAGATAGATAAATGCATGGGCAAAAATAATTACGGTGAAGGAACTGATTGAAATAAGTGAGAAACACGAAGATGGGTTCAGTAACTTTCTGTGATCATCTCTTAAATGGTGAAGGGGGGGCTGATGAGTGTGCCTACACGGGTGACACTGTGTGTGACGTGGCACCAGGTGAGGTGGAACAGCAGCTGGAGCTGCTGGTAGCCGTGAAGACAGGAAGCCACAGTGGCTCTGGGGCTGTGGGACACAGTTCTGGATTACTCTTTCAATCAAATTTGTGTTTATTTTTCAAATGTGACTATATGCTACTGGAATAAAAAATAGATTTATTTTTAAACAATTTCTGCCCTTGAATTTTGGGATTGCTGGACAAGAGTGTCCATGGGAGTGCTTGCAAGAGGCTGTGCTCTGCTGTGCTGGCCATGGTGGCCACACTTAGGTGCCCTAGAAGGAATCACCAAGGAGTACCGTGTGTCAGACCACAAGTTCCCTCAGAGGCAGAGAATGGCAGACCTACCTGTAACGCTTCCACTTGGGGGGTGGGAGGTAGAGGCGGGAGGATCAGGAATTCAAGGTCACCATGAGATACAAAAGACATTTTTTAAAAGATTTATTTATCTATTATTTATACAGCGTTCTGCCTGCATGTGTGCATGTACACCAGAAGAGGGCACCAGATCGCACTATAGATGGTTGTGAGCCACCGTGTGGTTGCTGGGAATTGAACTCAGGACCTTTTGGAAGAACAGCCAGTGCTCTTAACCTCTGAGCCATCTCTCCAGCCCAAGACATCTTTTTTTTTTTTTTTTAAAGACTTACTTATGTACGTATTTTGTATATATGGGTACTTGGTCTGCATGAGGAAGTTGAACTTGGGATCTTCAGGAGAGCAGTGAGTGCTCTTAACCACTGAGCCATCTTTTTCCATCCCCTGCAAAAGGCATCTTTAATTGCAGCCTTCGGGAGGCACAAGAAGCAGGTGGGTTTCTGTGAGTTCAAGGCCAACCTGATCTACAAAAGGAGTTCCAGACCAACAAGCTCAAAACGAAAATTAAAAAAATAATAATAATAAAATACATATCCAGGCTAAAGGAAGGGAGTAGTTAATGCCCTCCTCCAGTGAAATCTCTGGACTGACTGAGACATCATAGCATGGCCACCCCCTGGGAGCACCTCCTCCCAAATGATAGGAAATCAGAGATAAAGTCCTTCATGTGGAGAGACAACCCCTCCCCCCAGGGCTGCTCTCCAATGCCTTGGACAGCACCAAATTCCTTCTGTCTAATGAAAGTGGTGGTGTCCCTGAAGTCCACCTGGAAAACCAGCTGACCTAAAAGTGAATTTGTGGCCTGGGGGTGTGGATCAGTTGATAGGACACTTGCCTAAAACAAACAAAGCCCTGAATTCGTGGTAATCCAGCAGGCATACTGCTCAGGAGGCAGAAGCAGGAGGATCAGGGAGTCAAGGTGGTACTCAGCTATACAGTGAGCCTGAAGCCAACTTTGATGATATAAACATTAGATGATATTAAAAAAAAAAAAAAAAAACATAAGCCAGGTATAATGGCACAGGCCTATGACACCGCCCCCGCCTCACCAAGCACTTGTGAGTTGACAAGAGGAGGATCCACAGTTCAAGGCCAACCTCAGCTACATGTGAGTTTGAAGCCATCCTGAACCACATGAGACCTACCTCAAACTCTAACAGGGCCCCAGACCTTAGTAGGCTCCCAGACCTTAGCTCAACTGACTCCATGATAGAAGTACCATTCAGGCTGTAAAACTCAGCTTGTAGACAGTCCCATAGGCCAAAATGAAAACAAAGACCTAATCCATCAAAGTCCACAGTTCAGGAAAAGTCTCAGAATGTACTAACCTTGCTTCTTAGCTTCCATAGTTTCACTTCCGGTAACTCATCTTGTCAACCCAGAACATGGATTTTGTGCTTAGAAGCTCATCCTGAGAAAGGCTCCGTGCTACACTGGGATCCTGAACACCCTGTGTAGAGTGTAGTCGGTAGCTGGCTGGCTGCCAAAGACTTTCTGTTGGCTTAAACTCATGTCCAGGCAGTTTTCTCTGCTGCATGCCCCACAGCAAAGCCACACACACAAGAAATCACGTGGCACAGAACTGAGACCTTCCTGCAACCACCAGTGACCCTTAAACGTGGCTCCTACCCTAGGCAAACCAGGCAACCATAGCACCTGCATGAGCAATGAACTCCAACAAGTCACCAGTAATGCACTGGTGTCAGTTAAGGAAAGAAATGAAAGCACTTCCCCTCGATGTCATTTACTCAAGAGTGAGAGCAATTTGAACCCCCTACTTCACGCTGCCGGTGCCTTCCACCCTCTGCTGTGTGAGTGTGAATTTGTGCCAGCCTGAAAGCTGTCTTGTGAATCTGGCCCTGTGCCTGTCTCTGTCTCCGACTGTGTCCAAGTGTCTGTGTTTAAGGAAGGGCTTTGCCCTCTCTTATTGAACAGAGCTGAAAGCTTTTCAATGGGGAATGAACTGGACACTTTACAGAAATCTTTAACAGAGTTTTACAAGGGATTAAGTCACTAGCTCCAACTGACCCAGAAAATAAACCTCTTCCACAAACATCACTGTTTATCAAGTACATTATACATGTTGCTGTCAAAATTTATGGATTATTTTTATAAGACTGCCTCCTCCCTATATTTGCCGGATCAGAGGCATGGAAGAGCACTCCATCTAAGATTACAGCTATGATGCAGTAGTTTAGGTTGCAAAGGTTGACTACACAGAAAACCCAAGGCAGGTTATGTTATTCCATTGTTCTGGTAAAGACAGGTTAAACAAACAGGCTGAGGGCAGCACTCTTCAACCTCACGTGACCTCAGGGTGTGAGTGGGGGGTCCAGTTCCTTAGACTGTTAAGAGGCATTGAACATAATGCATTGTCACAGCCACAGCTCCACCCAACAGAGCCTGATGAGAGGCCCTGAGCTAAAACCACCCAGACAAGCCACCACTGACCCCTGATTACAGAAACTTGGGGACAGGCTGCTAGTGGGTGGGAAGCTGCTGCACAGCATCTCGTGACTAATACACGCTCCACATGGATTCCATTCCCACCACGACCACATGCAGTAAGGTGACTCACTCTCCAGAGGGACCGAGGCTGAGGACAGCCACACAGGAAGACAATGGTGGGGCCCTGAGAAAATTCACCCCACGGGAGAGATCCTCTAGACAGTGGCAATCCACTCACGAATGGCAGCTCTGTGCGTTACTCTGTTTGTTGCTCTGACAAAAGCAATGTAAGGGGGAAAGTGGTTTTGTTTGTGTTGGTTTGGCTTGGTTTGATGTCTGAGGGTGCTTTGCCTGCGTGTGTCTGTGCACCATCGTCATGTCTGTGCCCTAACAGCCAGAAGAGGGCATCACATCCCCTGCAACTGGAGTCAGACGTTAAGAGCTGCCACATGGGTACTGAGACTTGAACTTGGGTCCTCTGGAAGAGCAGCCAGTGCTCTTAACTGCCATCTTTCTAGCTCCAAAGGGCCTTGGTTTTGGCTCACAGTTTGAGGGTACAGTGGCCTCTAGAGTGTGAGGCTGCTGGTCATATTGCATCCCCCGTTAGGAATCAGAGAGAGTGAAATGCTGGCCCTCAGCTCACTTTCTCCTTTTTTACTCAGTTTAGAAAGCCAGTCCATGGGACACTGCTACCCACATTCTAGGTAGGTCTTCTGTCTTCCTCAAACCTTTCTAGAAAATCCTTCATCAACACGTATGTTTCTATGATGAGTCTAAATACAATTAAATTGACAATAATGCTTAACTGTCATGGTGGCCCAGTCCTTGCCATCCTCCACATGGGTTTCCTTCAACTAAACATTGGGAGACAATTCTTTTTGTTGTGGTGCTGTGGGTTTTTTTTGCTTGTTTGTTTTCTTTCATTTAATTAATTATTTATTTTTTTCTTTTCTTACCAACTTCCATGGGGGTTTTGTTTGTTTGTTTACATTTTATTTGATTACTTACTGTGCCTGGGCATGCGCACTACACAGATGTGTAGAGATCGGGACAACTTCAGAGAGTCAGTTCCCCTCCTACCATCTGAACTGAAATCATCAGACTTAGCAGCAGGCACCATTGTCCACGGAGCCATCTTGCCAGCTCAAGAATTCTCCTCATAACCATCTGTAATGAGATCTGGTGCCCTCTTCTGGCCTGCAGGCAGAACACTGTATATGTAATAAATAAATCTAAAAAAAAAAAAAAAAAAAAAAAAAAAAGAAAGAAAGAAAGAAAGAAAGCTTTCTTAATCCTAAGAAGACAGTATGGTTCCCATAGGGGTGGGAGTGTGAAGAAACAGTTGAGGGATACTGATTACATAGCAGGTGCCAAATGAAGCCTCCTCATCCACAAAGGCATGACAGGTGATTCTGAATGGGAAGGGGAGACCCCCTAGACTTGGGACATCCGCCCTTGGCCAGCTCCGGTCTCAGCACTCAGGTCTGCAGCCAATTAGAACATCAACCACCAAGCCAAACTGGATTCTTCTCTCAAAAATAAGCCATCAACGGCATCTTTGCATTGCAGATGCTTATTTTTAAAACACGGGGGAAACGCTGACTGGATAAAGATCTCTGTCAGACTGTAGGCTTTAAAAAAGCACTTAATTCAATCTGGCATCCCAGACGGAATGTAAATCTGCTACAGAGCAAAGCTGATGGGCAAGCAGGAGGTGCTGCAGCCCAACTGCATCATGAGATCAATCCATCAACCCAAAATAAAAAATAGCCGGCAACAGATGTACTTCAGCAAGGGAGAAAGGAACAACAGGCCGCCTTGTCTCGCTCCTTCCTCTGGGCTGCATAAATAAGGCTGTTTTGCCGGCTCTTCTGCAGAAGCCCCACTTGATCTCATTGCCAAATCCTCCAAAAGTCTATCGCCTGCTTCTTCATTTCTCTCTGAGATGCTATCATTGCTAACCTATTCTCTCAAGTTGTTTCAAATCATCAGGAAATAACTGGATGCAAAAACCCCTCAGGATGAGATGATGGTGACATATGTCAGAGCGTCCAGTGTGTGGTGTTGTCATCTGGCAGTTTTGAAACAAAGCAACAACCAAAAAGCATAATATGATCTGCTACCACCGGCTGCACTGAATTTTAAACAAGCGTGCTGGGAGAAATACCCAGAAACGCTTGATCTAAGGCACTGCAGTAGCTTAAAGACGATCCAGAATATGACCACTGCAGGGATGTTTGGCACCTTCCCACTGAATTGTGGTAGGCCAAGGTAGAAACAGTGATGCCCCAATTACCAGGCGTAGCTTTAGGCTTTAGGAGACTGACAGCTCCCAC